CTCAACCGTATTTATTGTCCCATAAAATTAAGCACGTTGGTCAAAAAGGGGTGAAAGGAGCGCTCAAATCGCAAAATAGCAGAGGAAGTACCCCCCCAAAACCACACATTCTCTAGCTTCAAAACACTTCGTCGAGGATGTAGTGGCACTAAACCACGGGCAATCTAAACCAAAACCAACGTTTTCGTTGGAAATCGGTCGATGCGTGACCTTTAATAGTCTCTATCTCGAGAACCATTTCAGCTACCGGGCCACGTGTATCTCAGTTGAATGCGCGATATGCGGTTTTGGGGGGGTACTTCCTCTGCTATTTTGCGATTTGAGCGCTCCTTTCACCCCTTTTTGACCAACGTGCTTAATTTTATGGGACAATAAATACGGTTGAGTCTCCTTAACTCTTATTTCCGTTGTTTCTTTTAATTTATTGCAGCGGCACTTTATACCACTGTAAAGAGGGCTCTTTTCTCCTATAAATACGCTTATCTGAAGTGTCGTACCTTTCACCTTTCACCTTCAATACCCGTTCAAAGGTAGGAGTGCATGATTGGGGTTTTCCTCGGTGCATACGCTTCCCGTATGAGATCGCCGAGTAGACTCTTCAGAAGAGTGTAGAGGACACTCAGTTCTACCCGATGCACGAAAGCAAAATACCCTGTCTATTTTCTAAACGTAAGATATTTGACGTTCATTTTCGCTCCTTCAGCCGGCCGGCGGGGTGAGCGCGCGCTGCTCTATCTTTGTCTGTCGCATGCGGGCGAGGGAGAGAGAGAGCGCTGGGTTCCCCCCACCACCACCCCGACTCCAGCGGCGGGCTCCGGCGGGGCGGCTCCGGGGGCTCTGCACTGCTTCGGTTCAAGGCGCGTAGAACCTGAACGGTTAAAGGTGCCGAAAATCTGAAAACAGCGACGTGGAGCTGAAGAATGGACACACATCGTTTGCTTTGGTCATCTTTGAGTCTACCGCCTCGTTCCAGAGATATGACGTGATCTGTTTTAAACGCACTTTTGAAAAACGAACTTTTTTCATTAAGATCAAATTTAAGCACATAATTTAACACCGCGCGACTTATGTTTTATAGTCGACGTGTTCCTTGCTCTTTTCCGAACATTTCGACACCTTTCTCGTGAAAATCGGACGAATAATTTCGGACCCACAGCGAATACCGCAAACCCCTGCATTTAGGCCCTTTTGTTCAATTTCCGGTGAACGCTCACGAGTTAGATCGGTAGACTCTTCGGTACTCGATTCAGCACATCAAACTGCACAACATATCAAAAATCCAGCTTTACATATTTTTGTTCCGGGTAGGGGCCCTTTTTTGACTTCGTTGCCTGGACTACAAGGCTCTCTCGCTCACGCGCTCTCCCCGCTCCTCCTCCCTCCCCGTTCTCTCCTCCCCCGCTCTCCCACTCTCAGTAATTATTCCTATTCAATTCCGCGGCACCAGAAGAAAGAGAGAGAGAAATGCGGTGTCGTCGCCGAGGTCAGTGCGGCTGTTTGTCCTTACCTGGCGGCAGCGAGTCCCCTCGGCCTCTCCATTGCCGGGGTGGCTCTGTGGTGGAGGGAGGAAGGGATGTCTGTCAACAATGGAACATTTACTTAAATAACGGGCTCAATTGCGTCGATATTTGTCATCTCACCTAGGGGAGAGGGAGAGAGAGAGAGAGAGAGAGAGAGAGAGAGAGAGAGAGAGAGAGAGAGAGAGAATGCATGTGGCGCGGAGACTTGCACGCCCGAGTGGAGCTGGCGAGCTCTTCGGAGCTCTTCCAGAGGGGGAGGCTGCAGCGGAAGCAAGTTTGGATCCCCCTCCAGTCTCCTCGTTCCGCCCCTGTTGCTGTGGGAGGCACTAACTATAACACCTGACTGCCTGATTGCCGTGGCGGGGCGGGGCGGGGCGGGGCGCGCAGCAGAGCCCCGAAGGGCTGGGCGGACGCGCCGGCCGGAGGAGAGGAACGAAACCAACAACCAACGATGCTTGATTTCTTAATTCGTGTTGTCCTCCTCCTCCTCCTCCGCCGCCGCCTCCTTCTCGCTTATCTCCTCTGCCCCCCCCCCCCTCGGCGTCATTTTCCTCTCTTTTTAACCCCTGTTCTCGCCGGCCGGCCAGCAGTCAGTGTCCGTCTCTCTCTTCCTTTCTTCGATACTCGCTCTCCGCCGCTCAGTCTCTCTCTCTCCCTCGGCCGCAGCTTCTCACCCGCCGTGCCGCACCGCGCTCTTCTCTTCTCGGTTCTTCTTCCTCTCTTCTCGCTCTATCTCTTTCTCTCCTCGCTGCGTGCGCCTGCATCCTCATTCATTGCCCCCTCGGCTTGTTTCCAGGCCGTACAACTTCATACGGCTGGTCTGGAGAGGCTGCTGCCCGCCGGAGCCAGAGGCCGGAGCCGGTGGAGCTGGACCGCGAGTGCACTGTCAAAAGATGTCTCTAGTTTTACACTGAAACGTTTGGAATGGGCCAGGGAAATTGGTACAGAAATTCTCCGTTCAACGCTTTTAAGTGATCTTAGGAAATAATTGCAACGGAAAACGATGTGTGGTACCGTTTAATCTTTAGAGTCAGTATTGGATGGAGGGGGGGGGGGGGGGCAGCGAGCGCGTTAACCCAAACAGTGACTTGCACATCCACCTCGCGGTGTCCGCCACGCCCCACCTATATCTTTTTCTCTCCCCACTTTCTTTACGACGGCCCTCTCTCTCCCTCTCTCTCTTCCTTCTCCACTGCACGCTTTTGCTCTTGCTGCTCCTCGCTGCAGAGCAACAGATACCTACCCGCCGCGTCACCAATGGAGAGCGCGCTGCGCAATGCCGTCGACCTTTTATTTTACCCCCTCTCTCTCTCTCTCTTTCTGTCTCTCTCTCTCTCTCTCTCTCTCTCTCTCTCTTTCTGTCTCTCTCTCTCTCTCTCACACACACACACATACATACACGCACGCTCGCCGCGCGCGCCATGCCCGCTACTGTACTGCTGTTTCACCTCCCTTC